CGCCCACAAAATGAGAGCGTTGTTATGAAACGCTGTCTATTATAAACAATAATGGCATCTCACGGGCCGCAGTTTTAGTGATTTTTTTGCTAAACAGGCAAAAGATCGCGAGTCGGGAATTTATTGTTGTTGTCAATATGAACAATGATCACCTGTGTTCTTACAAAGTTGCTAACACTAGGTAGGTTATAGAAATACGTTAATGCGGGTACTGTCTCATGGTTTCGCTGTGTGTGTCGGGTCATTTTTTGACCCCCTTGTCATCTGTCACGTAACCTGGCGTACATATCCGGTGTTACGCATGCTGTCATTGGTTGAGACTCAGTCACATGACCTTACGTGATATATTGTCTGCCAAGTGGATATTACATTACAGTGTATTTAGCAGTTTTTTTCAGCAAACAATGTATGTATTCTTTTGAGTAATGTGTCAGTTGTTATAATACATAAAATAAAATATTACATAATTCAACAAATATAATTATTGTTATTTTGTGGGACAGCGGGTGTGAGAGATGTATATTAGCTGTAATTGTGCATGTTGGATGTCTTTTCGATGTGATAAAATAAATAACACATGGCCTTCGACTCTGGTATCATTAATATTATGGTCATGACCTCCATTCCTTGGGCAAGCAACAAATCGTGATATCGCCCTCAAAAACATGTGTTACTTTTTAAATGTTACCCCTGCTCAAACATTAAAAAACAGTATCAATGATAATTAGCAGTATTTTACTTCGTTGTAATGACAAAGTGTAAAGTTACCTGTTGAATCACCAGGTACTCTCTGCCGTTTATCATTTTAGCTCACAGTTTTCATAAATAAGGCCAAAAAAAATTATTGCCCTCAGCGACCGACCGAAAAATATAACGAAAATATCGGGTCGCGGTTTTTTTTTTTAATAAGCCCAAATATAAAAAACTCACCATTTTAAGCAGTAAAAAGTGTTTCCTCTAAAGATTAACGACCCCGGACCGTTGTTTGGTCCCCAGGGTTCCTGGGGGGGGGGGGTAGTGGCGACTTTAAACCTCGGGTTGATCTGTACTTAAATACAAAAGACGGAAAGAAACACTTTGATTTTTGTGTGCAATATTTAGCTTGCGTTTGATTGATTCCCATATACCTCGGCTATTTACGATACCCTTAGTTTTCACGAGTTTAAACAAAATAATCCGACCGACCGACCCAATTATTTAATTTTCCGACTTGAGGGCAACATAAGTTTATTTTATTGACGACAAGATCTCTATGTCAGTTGTTTTATTTCAACAAACACATGAACAAAGGAGTAACCCATTTGGAAATCTGGGGAGAGCTGGAAGATTTTGGTATAAACAAAAGTATGTGACCTGTTTTCAAAGGAAAAAATCCACAGTCCCAATAGTAAACAGAACGGAAGTTTCAACAGAAGTCACGTTGTTTTTTGGGGGAAAAGTTCAGACATGGTCTCAGAAAAAAAAATTCCCTGCTACAGTAGTGTGAAAGAAAAGTATATTAAAACTGTATTTGTCTTGGTGGTGGGAAACGTGGTCTAAACACCCCTGACTTTATGTTTCATGGTTGAGTGCTGGTGTAATGATTTACTACTACTAGTACATGTTACTGGATGGGGGTTGTATTATTTCTGACTGATTTGCATCTAACATTTTTATTTGAACTGCTATATCATCCAGTGTTATTATGGATACTGTATTATTTTCACAGAGGACAATAAACGTAGGATATTAAAAAAAAAAGCAAATGGTGGGGTATAAAACCACAGCTTCTAAAGGCTGGCCTCGACACTTTTACCAGGGCCCTTTTCAAGGCGGGGTGCAAACTAACTCGACGCGTCGGCGCAGGCTCCGTTCTCTGCTGATCGCAACGATTCTAAAGGAGTGGACGCGGGTGCAGGATGTGACAATAGATAAGTTAAATAATTAAATTGTCGCTTGTATCGTTTGCAGGTAAGAAGACTGGTTATGATAAACAGATAATTTCATACTACGATTCATACTAAAAAAATGTTTGTTTAGCCAGTGAAAGAATCAACTGAATTAAAATGAAAACATATATTTCATGTACCCACTCCTATTTGTTAATGGACTGGTCCAAGGAGCTTGGCTAATCCAAGGAGTGTGACTCGGGTTCGGGTAAACAGAAGCTTCTGGAGCTTTCCCTGACACAGTTGACACCGTGTAATTAAACTTTCTTATTTGGGAGAATTAGCCCAGTGATCCCCAAAATAGCAATCAAAAATGGCTGAGCAACTTTTGACTGGTGAAGATATTGCGGTCGTAGTGGTTTACTTCTTAGCTGTCATAGCCGTTGGCCTTTGGGTAAGTGAAATGTGCATGGAATCCACGCCTGTTTTTATCAAACATGATTTCGTCTGAAGTGGCGTCTGCTTCCATATGGTTGGCGTCAGTTCAACTTTTATGAATGTATTGAGTGTATCATTGTAATTATGGTTACAACTGTTTCATGTTTCGTGTCTGCGAAGCGTAGAATAGATTCATCCACTCGATCAGATTTGTAAATCTGGTTTTGTGGACTGTGTACATTATGTAATGCTTGTATCCTCTTTAGATCTATGGTTTTATCAGATGACGTTATTTACTTGTTATACTGAGTTAGCGGCACTCATAAATCGTAAATGAACTGCCTAGGTCATTCATGATGGATGTTGTGATAGGTCCCCCTATCGGATCACCTGTTTTACTTTCTCCCTGGGGTCAAATGTACCCAGCATGCATCTTGCGTGTCAGCATGGATAACGGGATTGGGCTATTAAATCGATTAATGGGTGTCCACCTCTCTGAGAATTTGGTAGTGGTGTGCTGCCCATAAAAAAAATGTTTATTATTTTATACCAGTTTTAACCCAATATAACACCACTAAACCGTTTTTCGATAGCCAAGAACAGTAAGTAGTAATGAAGACATTATTACAGAGCGCAGTCCCTCAATTGTTGAGAGGAACTGTGTACAGAGGTAATTTTGAGGGAGCAGTTTTACAGTGAAAACTACCAAGATTTTGAGATCACTCTTGATTTTGTAACATCAGAACAACTGATTTCCTACTTTGCTTTAGAATATTGTTGATCCCCAACAGACAGGTCAATTCAAACTCATTGCCAGTATATATCCAGAAAAGTAGCAATCAGGATAACTTCATTTCATTTCCTAAATTTGTTGCGTTTCAGCCTATAATAATAATAATATTTTTATTAGACCATAATAAGTAATGTCAGTTCATCTTAAGTAGAATACAAGAAAGTAAAGACAGCAAACCTATAAAAGAGTATTATTTTTACTAAATGAAGTTTTTAAATAATGAACTACCTGTCTGATCTTGTATATTCATTATTGTAATGAACTTGAAAGGTATTCAAATTCTTGAAATTTGCTTGAAAAATTAAAATTAAAAATGTTCGAAAAATTTTCACAGGTTGTAATAAAATGAATTTCATCTTTCACCTCATTACACTTTTTAGATATTTTTGGTCGTTTGTGATGGCCTAGTTCAAACAACTCAATACATTTTGGTGATATATAAAAATGCTCTTCTCTCCAAAGCCCAACATTAGGCACATTATCTATGTTATTGGAAGCACATTAAAATGTGACTTATTTTACCGGGGTAACCGTAATTACACATCTGTAATACGTAAAGTGCAAACATAATTAATAAAGCACATTTTTATCTATACTTTTTGGATACAATTGTTATTGTCTGTACAGGTTTCACGAAAGTCTTTTGAATGTTTTTATATTTTGCCAATAGATTGCTTATTGCTATACGGATGTGGTCAAATGTGGAAAATGTGGAAAAAAAAGTGTGGGTACGGACGGACCTAATTTTTGACATAAATGTGATATTACCGCATGTGGATTATGGGTCTCTATGGTGGAAAGGGAAAACACAATCCGTTCAACTAGAAGAAATCTTTGAGATTTTTTCAAACTCTGAGTAATGAATCAAGTCAGTTTCAGTAATTTGTCTTTTGCAAACACATTGGGAATGAATTTGTGCTCACACATCTGGCATCCACTTCAAACCTAGGAAACTGTATTGAGCAAGTAACATGTATAAAATTATTCAATAATCCACATCATCGCAAGAAAAAAACTTGTACAATGAACCTCATAATGTCATGTGTTTGTTTCTTTTGATTCAACTAGGCCATGTGTCGATCCAATCGTGGAACAGTGAGTGGTTACTTCCTTGCAGGGCGAGCCATGCCATTCTATATGGTAAGTCATTTGCATATACAGTATATCACTTTATAATGGGGGGAGTGGGGTTATGTCTGAACAGGGTAGTGATTATTTGTAAGCAGGACAAATTTGTGAGTGGGTTGGAGATTATTTGTAGCTGAGGTAAGGATTATTTTTGTGGGTGGGGTGGGATTTGCTGACCAAGTCGGGATTATTTGTTGATACAGTGGGCGTGTGCTTCACGATGATTGGCATCAGTTCAACTTTTATGAATGTATTGAGTGTGTCATTTTCTTTTTTTTAATAGTTTCTCATTATGTATCATTTGTCTGTTCAATGTATTTAATGTTTGTCTTTATCATACAGTGCCCTCAGATGGTACTTGTAGAGTATTAAAGGGATTATTACTAAAGGGCTGTGATCATTATTAAGCGATGTGTGTTTGAATTTCAATGTTGTGTACGTTGGGTTTGTTGCTACGAGTGCCATATCGAACAGGACGTGGAGCGACGACTACCGCCCTTTAAATGTAAATTACGGTTACAACTGTTTCATGTTTTGTGTCCGAGTTTAAAAAAAAATCATAGAAAATAGAATCATCCACTTGGGATAATTTGTGGATGGAGTGGTATTATTTGTGAACAAGGTGGGATTTGCTATCAAAGTTAGGTTATTTGTGGTATGGGTGGGGATTATCTTTGGGTGGGGTGGGGGGTGGGGGTTATTTGTGGATAGTGTGAAGATGATTTGTGGATGGAAGAGGATTATTTTTTGGTGGTGTGGATATTGTTTGTGGATGGAGTGGGGATTATTTTTGGATGGAGTGGGGATTATTTGCAGATAGACAGGGGTTATTTTTGGATGGAGTGGGGATTATTTGCAGATAGACAGGGATTATTTTTGGATGGAGTGGGGATTATTTGCAGATAGACAGGGGTTATTTTTGGATGGAGTGGGGATTATTTGCAGATAGACAGGGATTATTTTTGGATGGAGTGGGGATTATTTGCAGATAGACAGGGGTTATTTTTGGATGGAGTGGGGATTATTTGCAGATAGACAGGGGTTATTTTTGGATGGAGTGGGGATTATTTGTTGGTGGGGTGGGGATTATTTTTGGTTGGAGTTTTGATTATTTTTAGATGGAGTAAGGAATAATTTTGTTGGTGCTGTGGGGATTATTTTTGGATGAAAGGGGATTATTTTTTGGTGGTGTGAGTATTGTTTTTAGATGGAGTTGGGATTATTTGTGGATGGTATTTAAAATATTATTTTTTTTATGTAATATAAATCATTATTCCTAAAATGTTACTGGAGTGATACTATGAGCTTTTTGACTCCCATGTATGAAGCACATAGTGGGAGTCTTTGCAGTTACCCTATCTGTGTGTATGTATTTGTGCTCCATCATTATCGCTTTAAATGAACTTGTGGTACAGGTGCTCTGAAATAAATCAGACTGCAAACCACTGATGTACAATCAAATTTATTTTCTGTGAGTATTATAAACTTTAATATTCAGGATCACAATGTTTTCACGTTGTGCATGCAGCTACTTCAATACAGGAATATTTTTATAAGTTTTCTGTGATTCATTGTGGAAGGCATTATGAAAATAATATTGACAAAAGTCATCACTGTAGTTTTCTTTCCACCTTATATAACTGGTATATGCTGTATTACTGATTGTATGATGCTTTAGGCACAGCTTGGTTTGAAATACTTGTACATTGCAATGTGCGTGTTGTTTTTCAGTCAGTGCATGCACACATGAAATCTAATGTTCTTGCAAATATAATCACTAAATATTAGTACATGGTTTGAAAAATAAATATTAAAACTTTGCGGAAAAGTCAAATTATGTTAATTTTTCACTGCATCAGTCAGTATAACTCAGTAGTCGCAATAGTGGATTATAATTTTTTTATGGTTTGTGTTTTTATCACACCTAGTCTACCTCATACAAAATTGTTTCAAAAATCGACCACAAACTGATGACAATAAATTAACATATTTAGTGTACAGTACATTGTAAGTATAACTTTTAAAATTTAACTATCTTTAAACTGGTTTGAAACTAGCTTAGCATACTTACAAAAGTGAATTGTACAGAGAAGTCTGCCGAAATATGTCTAATATTAGTAACAACTGCAAAAAATAAGTCAAAATGATAAAACATTTTTATATAAAGGCAAAGTCAGCAGAGTGTACTGTAAGTGACACTGAGTTTAGCAAAGGATAATACCAATACATACACTTGTACATGTTGATAAGATATTCTATTCAATGAAAACAAAATAGAGTGTTTGTAAATCATTAATCTTTTGCAGTTTGGACATAAACTGAGATTCACAAATGTTACCTTGCTTTCTTGCCTAAAATTATCAATGCTGCTATTGTGTGATTTTCCTGAATCTTCAAAAATCTGTCTGATTTGACTTTATCATATGTCAGACAATGATTATTCATGCGATTACTTCCATTTTTTAATTTATTCTGAACAATATTTTGTTTTTCAGGTTGGAGCGTCCTTGTTTGTGAGTAATATCGGTAGTGAACATTTCATTGGATTGGCTGGGTCAGGCGCTGCGGGTGGTATCGGTGTTGGCGCGTGGGAATTCAACGCTATACTGTTACTACAGCTGTTAGGTTGGGTATTCCTTCCTGTATACATTGCATGTGGCGTAAGTGACATTAATTCAAATTCTTGGAATGACAAGAGTCCATACATATTTAGTACAGCTATACTGTAATTCATTCGTCTTGCATATTGATCACATGTTTGGATATTTTAGTGCGCATAACAGTTGCAATATTTAATGTTAAAATATTGTTAATCTTGTATTCAGCAATGTGTAAGTTTGTTTTTAAACTTGTGAAAGATTTTGTTTTTACATTGATGCCGAATGTCTTGGTATATGCAGAGATGTAAACAAGCTTTGTACATTTAATACATTTCATTTTAGACTTGACAAATAAAATCACTATGCTAACAATGTTGACAGATATTTTACAACCCAGTAATTATCCCACGATATTTGTCTGTAGCATAAATTATACATTCCAAATGACAACCTTGCTCTCAGGCAAAATATTCTAAATTGACAACCTTCCTCCAGGCTAAACATTCAATTGACAACTTGACTCTATGATAATCATTCTAAATGATAACTTCACCGCTGGGCTAAACATTTCACCAGGGGCAGGCTAAACATTTCTACGGCTGCAGCTGTCGATAGAAATCTTTCAAAGGCAGGTCAAAAAAGCATAACCTATATAAGAAGTTAAAATCATAATGTAAATAAATAATATTTGATTTTGTAAATAAATTAATTATTATGTGACTGCCTCTAGTGAAATATAAATTATTAATTCATTCATTCATTTATTTACTCGCAGCACAGTGTTTTTTTGAGTTTAACAGCTTACTATTATTAGATATGCTGTACAGTGCTATGAAGTTTCAATTTAGATACAGTAGATTTGATTTAACAGCTGTGGGAATCATTAGGTATGATATTTAGAACAAGGGTAACTATAGTCCTTAACAAATATTCATTATATCCAGTTCGAGAAATGTTCCTTCATCTGAATATGTGCCATTCTCTATATACTAGTATTAGATTTTAATTAAATTAACTCTTTGAACGGCTTTCAAAACCTTTCACAAAATAAACCTGACTTGTGTAATTTTTTTCATATTTTTTTTTTCATTTTTGATCCAAATCTGTTGCCAATGGAAAGTTGTATTCGTTTGGTCCAAAATTTGCAAAAATGTCACACCAACATTTTGGCAGAAACAATTATGACATTTAAACAGTCAAATGTAAAACAGCTGTAAGATGTAGGGGTGATTGTTGAGAGCAATATTTGGAAAGAATTTATAATGTGTAGAAAACTGTGAAAGCTGTAAAAGTAACTTTCATCACAAGCCATTTTCTTTCCTCTTTTGTTAAGAATGAAATCTATGCAAAATAACTGTTAAAAACAATCTGTTTATATCTACAGATTTTTACTATGCCACAGTACTTATCAAAACGCTTTGGTGGATCCAGATTACGAGTTTATTTTGCGGTATTGTCATTGGTTCTATATGTGTTCACAAAGTTGTCTGTGAGTAATATTGACTTTTTATTTGAATTCTTTATGTAAAAAAAAAGTAAGAACCGAACCATTGGATGACTTGACAAAAAAAATTACAGGTTTATTTTGTCATTCATTTCACCTGTTATGAGACCTTTTCACATTTATCTTGACCAAAGTTGACTTAACTCCCCATACTTGAGAAATTTTTACAAAAGCGAGAAACTACTTGAAAAATGATTGATAAGACTCCATCAGAATAACCTTCTGATTGGAACAAAGATTGTGGAAGATTCTGATCTGAATGGTTAGAGTTCATTCAACTTTTTTTTCCATTCTTTCCTAGCAAAATATTAATATTTCTGTTCCTGTCTTTTTCTTTCCAACACTAGGTTGACCTTTATACAGGGGCATTGTTTATCCAACAATCCTTGGGTTGGGATCTGTATCTTTCTATAATTGTACTGATTCTTATCACCGCTGTTTTGACGATCACAGGTAATCAATTCGTATCTTGCTAACTGAAAGTAAATTTTATGAGGCTATGAAATTTAAGGATGAGTTGCATCTATTTACCACACTTTTAAAATTAGCTAATAGATAACATTAACATTAAGATGAAGATGAAATTTAAGAAATGCCATGTTACATATATTCAGAAAGCAATATTACTAAAAGCTCTAATAAACCATAATAAAGAGCTATTAAAAATGAATGCTCAGTTTGGTACTCAAAAATGTAACACTGTCATTTTGACTTGTTTCCATATTTTGAAATCAGTCAGTGCACAGCAGAATAACCAATTCAAACTTTTTGAACTTTGACTTGCAAAACAAATGTCACCATAATCAAAACAATACAGTATGCAAATCTTTCTGTGTACATTGAATGATTGACAGCTGGTCAATACCTGTCCCGTCTCCATGGATACAAAAATCTTACCTTCAAGCAGCCCTACTTTTTCTTGTCAAATCTGTAAAACTAAAAAAGTGATATACAATTTTAGCGAATTGATGTGGAGGGGTAGTATAGCGAAATACGAGCAAAGACATAAATTAGGAAGTGCATCAGAGTTTTACTGTCTGGCAAATTTTTCTGATTACAAAAATAGAACCTCAGCTATGAGAGCACTATTGTCTGTACTGTGTAAATCTGCTTGAATTTCAAATACTTCTCATTCCTGAGTCCGACGTTATATGTCATTGATACTCATACCATGCTTTGCTACATCCAATACTTCAAAAGAACTCTTGTGCCATGGTTACCTGATCCAAATGCAAAAAAAAAAGACTATAAAAGAGCTGCAAATTTTGCTTACATGAATGCTGCTGTCATTGACGAGTACATTATGTGTTAGATAATGTCTGGTCTGGTCTGGTTTGGTTTGGTTTGTTTTTCTGATATTTATAAGATTATTATAATCTTTTAGATATTCTAGAATAATTAATTATTATTGTTTAAAAAGTGCCTAAAACAGTGCTTCTCATCCTTAATTCACATACAATATGTGACATAGGTCCTTTTAAAACTACATGTGAACACATAATTTCATCTAGATGAAAGAAATACATGTATATAAACTTGTTTAAGGAATCTGTCAAATTAACCTATATGAATTTTTATTTACTGGTTGTTTTTATTTAGTATATTAATATA